ATACTCCTGTGGAAAACAGATCAAAGCTAAGCTCCTACAGGGGAGGAGTGCCCCAGGTCTTGGCTGTGCCATCTTCCTGCTGTGTCCTGGGGGTCCCTGAGGGCACTGTGAAGACAGGCTGGGTGACATTTGAGGCCTTTCTGGAAGCTGCAGGCTTGTACCCCAAAGCTTGGGCTTCACCTGAGCTGCTGGGAGGGAGAGGATTCTCCACTGGCTCATTCAGAGCCTCTTGGCCACTTCCTGTTGACCTGTGGCTGGTGGGTTTTAAGCAGGGAGGTGGGGGGACTCCCTCTATCCGCTTACCCAGAGGAGATCTGGAATAGCCGCTCCACAAAGCTGAGCCAGGCTCTGTGGGCCCTGGACCTCACACCTGAAGAGGAAAGAGGGGTGAGGCCCAAGTGAAGCCAGAAGCTCCAGGACAGGTTGCTGAGTCTTTCAAAAAGCAAGTTTTGCTCTGAGCCTCCACAGCGGGGGCCCCAGGATGGGGGAGGACCCCGAGGATATACGATAAGTGACATTTGAGGCTGCTTTTGGTTCTGTCCAACAGATAAGAAATGCAGTGTGAAGAGCCTGGGAGACCCCGTACACTGAGAGCAGAGGGGCCTGGGGCAATTACTGTGTGGGAGCATGGCAGGTGCTGGGAACAAAGGGGATGACATCTCTCCCTGGCAAGGAGTTCACAATCCTATTGTAGAAACAGATATGGTAATCCCGTGGTTTGTGGTATATTGGGGAATGTCAATTCGTGGGTGTCTAAACAGGACATGTTTTTATTTTTTCACATTGCTTTCCATTATGCTAGGTTGAACCCCCCCCCTTTCCTGTCCCTTGACATTTGGGTGGATTCCACAGTTTCCTGGTCTTTTTTGGGGGTGGTGCTTTATGGTGGCTGGGCAGGCCCAGGTCTCCTAGGTGTGGATGTGCTCTAGGTTCTTAGCTTCTTTGATGCTTAACTGTGGGCCGTAGCTCAGTTTGGGGACATGACCAAGGATAAGATGAAGTATGGGGGCCTGTGGAAGTGAGGAGGATGCCACCCAGCCTGGCTGAAGGGGTCAGGAAAGGCTTCTGGGCAACCTCTTTCTGCCAGGAATGGCTGGACTTGATTTTCATCATGATCTCCCTTTCTGTAAGTTTCTTAAGAGCTTTGAGCACCTGTTTCAGAGTCAGTATGAATTTGAGGGCAGGGCACCTCTGTGTCCCCAGGGCCCATCAGGTGATGGGTGAATGAATGAATGAGCTGATGCCACTTGAGGAATTTCGGTCTCCTGTGTCTTGGTTGATGGGCTATCTTGGGACCCTAGAAGAGTTTGAATTCTTTGGAAGAATTGCTGGAAGGTGGGCTGGCTCAGTCGATCCAGGGACGGGCCGGCTGTGATCTGGGCTCTGCTCAGCCATGCAGGAGGCCTGTTCCTGGCCAGTGGCTGTCATCCTCTTCCTCCTGCTTAGTTGGAGCCCCCTTCTCTGGTGCCTGCCTTCCTCTTCCACGACAGCCCCCCATAAGCCCTCCCTGTGCATTCCCCTGAGAAGCCAGCTCTCAATTCATGCAGCGCCTTCCACTCCCTCCAAGGTTATGCCTACGGGACCGGACCATGTCCTTTCCGACGATATTCTGATCGCTGGTCTATTTATAACAATGACTCACCCACCACCTAAACTTCTGCAGGAAGAGCTTGGCTTAGGAGCCAACTCCCCTGGAATGCAAAACAGTTTGCACTTGTAAATGATCACCATTTCATTTCCCTGAGATTATGCATCCTTGGCCTCCTCTTGACCCTATGGCCAGATCACTTAGTGATCTCCCACCCCGTTGCCGCCTGGTGCCACCAACCCCTCTTGTTTATCAAGAATCCTGCCGACCCCCTGACCTGCACAGCTGGGCAAGTTCCTCTTCATCATTAACCTTGAGACCGAGACTTCCTTGCTGTGCAGATGGGAAGGCTCTGCTGGACGATTTCCCTTTGTTTTCATGTTGTTTGCTTGTGAATGCGCTCAAGTTGGGGTGGGGACAGGGAGTGGATGAATCTGGAAGAGAGCCCTGAGCCCCCACCGTTGGCCTGAGGCTGCCTTCTCCAGCTTCTCCCTTAGGACCCCAGCGTTACGGGTACGGTACCCCCCCGAAGACCCTTGTGCACTGCTCTCTCGCCTGACCACCAGGCAGAAGGGGCAGTGATGGCAGCGGGCCCACCTCTTCTCAGTGTCTCCCCTTCTCCCCCAGCAGGTGCCTGGGGCAGACAGGTCTGCTACCTCCCATGGTGGCTGGGCTTGAGGGGCACTTGCATAGACATTTGTAGTCAGGCTGGGGAGATGAGATGACCCCCTTCTCCAGTTGGTCAGCAGATGCCCCTGTTGCCTTCTTCATAAAGAAAATACAGTAGAGGCCCTCAGTGGGGTCCCTTGGCTTCCCATCCGTTACCCACCTGTAGGCTTCCCACATCCCCAGACCTCCTGGCCTCCATTCCTTTCATCTTAGCGGTGCGGGGGTCACTCTGTCCCACGGCCCCTGCTCTGGAATCCCCCCCACCCCGACCCCTATCATGGTTCAGCAATTGTCACTCAGTCTGGAATTCAGCCTCTGCTGGCTCTGTGTCCCCTGCCTCTCCACCTGCTTCAGCCTTTTCCATCCGGGACCCCACACCTCCCCTGACCCCCAGTGTCACCTCCAGCTGGCCCTTCTCCCCTGTTGTCCCCTCTGGGTCGCTGCCACAGACTCCGGCCCCACCCACCTCATCCCACAGTGACAGTCCTCTCCGAGTTGATGAGTCTGGACCCATCCTCCTAAGTCCCAGGCTTGTTGGTCTCTTTGTAGCTTCTGACATCCTTGAGCTCTGTCCTCCCTGGCTTCTGATATGCCACCTCGTCCTCAGACACCCTGGCCTTATCCCCTTCTCATCATGCCTTGCCTCAGGCCACTGTCACCTCCCCCTGATGTCACTGCCACAGTGGATGCTGCCTGCAGGTCCCCCTGCCAGTCCACTTGCTATCAACCCAGTGATGCCTCCCACAATGCCACTCCCCTCTCCACATCCCCCCTTGGCACAGCACGCAAGGCCCCCAGGACCGGTCCCTGCCTTCCCTTGGCTTCATCTCCTGCCACATTTTTCACACCACTCCCCCAAGCCCTATTTTCCAGCCCTATTTCCCGAGCTAGTCGGCTCTCCCAGAGTAACTTCCCCACGTCTCTGCCTCGCATGTGATGCTCCTGTGGTACAGGAGCCTCTCACCCCCTTCTGCCTTTGGCTGAATCCTGGTCTCCACCGGGAGTTCTGCCGGCTTGTCCCCTCCAGCAGGCAGGCTTCTGGGACCAGCCCTTCCCCACCCAGCTGGGTCAGTGTCTTCCTTGGGGCTCAGCCCCGCACTGACCCCTCTGTCTGCGTGTCTGCCTCCCACCCAGGCCCCCACTTCCACGTGGATGACCAATGTGACACTCCAGTCTGGGTCAAATCCCTTTATTTTATGCTCCCTGGGAGGGACTCCCTGCCTTTAGAGCACTTAACTTAGTAGTTCTGTATTTAACAAGGAAGGGCCTCATCTGAGGCATCACCTGGTAGTGTTTGGTTAATTCCTATTTCTTCCACCAGACTGGAAGCTAGGCAAGAGCAGAGAGATCCTTATATTTTTTTTTCAAGATTTTATTTGACAGAGAGAGAGAGAGAGAGCAAGCAGGGGGTGCAGCAGGCAGAGGGAGAGGGAGAAGCAGACTCCCCGCTGAGCAAGGAGCCGGATACCGGACTCGATCCCAGGACCCTGGGATCATGACCTGAGCTGAAGGCAGATGCTTAATGACTGAGCCACCCAGGCGCCCTGTGTTTTTCTTCTTCTTCTTTTTTTTTTATATATATATATTTTTTTATTCTTATGTTAATCCCCATACATTACATCATTAGTTTTAGATGAAGTGTTCCATGATTCATTGTTTGTGCACAACACCCAGTGCTCCATGCAGAATGTGCCCTCCTCAATACCCACCACCAGGCTAACCCATCCTCCCACCCCCTCCCCCTCTAGAACCCTCAGTTTGTTTTTCAGAGTCTATGTGTTTTTCTTCTTAAAGAGCATTTACTATTAAATATTTTGGGAGACTAATGAACACCTGTGTGCCCAGTCCCCAACTTTGTCCGGTCTCACCATCTGCCATATTTGCCTCAGGTACTTTTTTAAAGATAAGCTGATAAACATGACCGAAGGCCTCTAAGTTTTGATGCTGGTCTAGAAAAACTTGCTTTTATTCACTGTTTAAATATTAAGTAGATGCAACTATTTATAAAATACATGTAATGTCTAAGGAGTAATGAAACAGTGAACACCTATGTACCCACCACCCAGTTTAGGAAAAAGAATATAACCAGTACTTTTAAAGTCTCCTCAGAAGCCCACCTCCTCGCTTCTGCCACCCTCCCTCAGCTGTACCGTTACCCTGAATTGTGTGTGTGATTTTCTTGCTTTTCTTTATACTTCTTTATACTTGCTTTTCTTTATACTTCTACCTAATATATTTGTTTCTCTAAACATTAAGTTGTTTAGTTTTGCTGTTTTTTTAAAACTTTATATAAATGGAGGGGTGCCTGGGCCGCTCAATCAGTTGGGCATCTGCCTTCAGCTCAGGTCATGATCTCGGGGTCCTGGAATCGAGCCCCGCATCAGGCTCCCTGCTCAGTGGGGAGCCTGCTTCTCCCTCTGTCCCTCACCTTACTTGTTCTCTTTCTCTTTCAAACAAACAAACAAATAAATAAATAATTTAAAAAACTTTATATAAATGGAAAAATACAGTTTGTGTTTTTCTGTGATCTGCTTTTTCTTTCTTTCTTTTTTTTTTTTGCTTACCATTTTGTTCTGACACAATGTGTACCCTGAAATTCATTCATTTTCACTAATGATTGTTATTCTGTTGTGTGGACACACCATACTTTATCCATCCTCCTGTTGATAGATGGGAGGGACATTTAGTTTGCCTTTCCTCACCTGCCCGCCTCTCTTTCTCCTTTTTGTCCCATTACACACAGTGTTGAAGTGAGGATTCCCCTGTGTCCCCACATGGGAGATGCAAATGCCTACCCAGTTGAGGACCACCAGGAGCACGCCTGCCGGGGATTGCTGGGTCACAAGGTATGTGCATCTATATTTTTCCTAGGTGTTGCCCATCTGCATTCCCACAGCAGGGTTATCCAAATGTCAGCTTCTCCACAATCTCACTAGTGCTCAGGAGACTCAGACTTCAAAAACTGTGCCTCCCATGCCCATGATGTGACATCTTGTTGTTTTCCTGACTGCTGATGGGGTTGAGCATATTTTCAAATGTATTCCCTTCAGTGAATTGCCTGTTCATATCTTTTGTCTATTATATTTGGTGGTTTTCCTCCAGAATTGATTTGCAGTGTTTTTTGTTTTATTTTGTTTTATAGGTTTTGAACATGAACCGCTTGGTAGGCAAATATCTTCTCCCAGGCTGTAGTTTGTCTTTTTTTGGTGGGGGAGAATGGGGCTTGGGAATTTTTTTGTTTGTTTTTTAAATACAGTGAAATACACAAATCTTAATTGCTACAGTTTGACAGATGTTTGTTTTGTTTTGTCTTATTTTTTAAAATTTTAATTCCACTAGAATTAACATACAGTGGTTTGAGGTATACAATATAGTGACTCAACAATTCTATACATTACTTGGTGCTCATCAAGCTAAGTGTACTCTTGGGGCAGCTGGGTGGCTCAGTCGATTAAGCATCCAACTCTTTTAAGTGTACTCTTAATCCCCATCACCTATTTCCCCCATCCCCCCACCATCTCCCCTCTGGTAACCATTAGTTTGTTCTCTATAGTTAAGAGTCTTTTTTTGGTCTCTTTTCTTCTTTGTTCGTTTGTTTTGTTTCTTAAATTCCACATGTGAGTGATTTCATATGGTATTTGTCTTTCTCTAATTATTTCACTTAGCATTATACTCTCTAGCTCCATCCATGTCATTGCAAATGGCAAGATTTCATTCTTTTTTTTTTTTTTAAAGATTTTATTTATTTGCGAGAGAGACAATGAGAGACAGAGAGCATGAGAGGGAGGAGGGTCAGAGGGAGAAGCAGACTCCCTGCTGAGCAGGGAGCCCGATGTGGGACTCGATCCTGGGACTCCAGGATCACGACCTGAGCCGAAGGCAGTCGCTTAACCAACTGAGCCACCCAGGCGCCCCCTAGATTTCATTCTTTTAAAAAATTTTTAAGTCCAGGGACCCCTGGGTGGCTCAGTTGGTTGAGTATGTGCCTTCGGCTCAGGTCATGATTCCAGGGTCCTGGGATCGAGTCCCGCATCGGGCTCCCTGCTCAGTGGGGAGTCTGCTTCTCCCTCTGCCTGCTGCTCCCCCTGCTTGTGCTCTTTCTCGCTCTCTCTGATAAGTAAATAAAATAAAATCTTTAAAAAAATTTAATTCCAGTGTAATTAACATACAGTGTTATATTAGTTTCAGGTGTACAATATAGTGATTTAACAATTCTATATATTACTCAGTGCTCGTCATAAGTGACCCTTAATCCCCATCACCTATTTCACCCATCCCCCCATCCACCTCCCCTCCGGTAACCATCAGGTTGTTTTCTATAGTTAAGAGTGTGTGTCTTGGTTTGTCTTTTTTCTTTTTTCTTCGTTCATTTGTTTTGTTTCTTAAATTTCACATATGAGTGAAATCATATGGAATTTGTCTTTCTCTGACTGACTTATTTTGATTAGCATTATACCCTCAGATCCATCCATCTTGTTGCAAATAGCAAGATTTCATTCTTTTTTATGGATGAATATTCTATTGTATACATATACCATATCTTCTTTATCCATTCATTCATTGATGGACACTGGACTCTTTCCATAATTTGGCTTTTGTAAATAATGCTGCAATAGACATTAGGATGCATATATCCTTTTGAATTAGTGTTTTCATTTTCTTTGGGTATATACCCAGTAGTACAATTATTGGATCATATGGTAATTCTATTTTTAACTTTTTGAGGAAACTCCATATTGTTTTCCACACTGGCTAGACCAGTTTGACTCCCACCAATAGTGTACTTTTTACCACATCCTTGCCAGCACTTGTTGTTTCTTGTGTTGTTGATTTTAGCCATTCTGCAGGTGATATCTCATTGTGGTTTTGATTTACATTTCCCTGATGATGAGTGATGTTCAGAATCTTTTCATGTGTCTGTTGGCCATCTGTATGTCTTTTTTTGAGAAATATCTGTTCATGTCTCCTGCCCATTTTTATTTAATTTAATTTATTTATTTATTGAGAGGAAGAGAGGTGGGGAGAGGGAGAGGGAGAGAAAGAATCTTAAGCAGGCTCCATGCCCAGAGCAGAGCCTGATGGCGGGGGCAAGGAGGGGGGGCCCAATACCATAACACCCTGAGATCATGACCTGAGCTGAAATCAGGAGTTGGATGCTTAACCTATTGAGCTACCCAGGCTCATTTTTAAATTGGATTATTTGTTTTTTGGGTGTTGAGTTTTACAAGTTCTTTATATATTTTGGATATTAAGCCTTTATTAGATATGTCATTTGTAAATATCTTCTCCCATTCTGAAGGTTGCCTTTTAGTTTTGTTGATTGGTCCCTCACTGTGCAGAAGCTTTTTATTTTGATTTAGTGCCAATAGTTTGTTTTTGCTTTTGTTTCCCTTACCTCAGGAGACATATCTAGAAAAATGTTGCTCTGGCTAATGTTAGAGAAATTACTGTCTGTGCTCTCTCCTAGGATTTTTAGATTTCAGGTCTCACATTTAGACCTTTAATGCACTTTGATTGGATTTATTTTTATGGTATGAGAAGTGGTCCAGTTTCTTTCTTTTTTTTTTTTTTTTTGCATGTAGCTGTCCAGTTTTCCCAGCCACATTTGTTGAAGAGACTTTTTCCCATTGCATATTCTTGCCTCCTTTGTCAAACATTAATTGATCATATATAATCATGGGGTTATTTCTTGCTCTCTATTTTGTTCCACTGATCTATGTGTCTATTTTTGTGCCAATACCACACTGTTTTGATTATTGCAGATTTGTAGTATATCTTGAAATCTGGGATTGTGATACCTCCAGCTTTGTTCTTCTTTTTCTTTTATTTGGGGGGGGGGCTGTTGATTTTTGTAGTTACTGGAATCATGCTGTATGTATTGTTCTTCCATGTGCTTGTTGGAGATGTTCCCAGCCTAGTACACTCCTTTTATCTACCATATATTTGGCAGAATTAGCATTGTCATTTGGGTTGCTTCATTCTGCTGTTATAATTATGCCCATTTTTGTGCACACATTTGAGTAGAGGGGCTGAAGTTGGAGTGAGAGAGTCTCAGTTTGAGTCTCTGTTGCTCTGAGGTAAAGGTGTGTTGACTTGGTGTTGAGCAGGCGGTAGGCAGTGCACACTGACCCAGGCAGGAGGGTGGCTGGGCTGTGGATTTGGAACCAACAGGCCCATGGCACCATGTGTGATGGGGAAGCGACTGGTTTTGCTCCTGGTTTAGTGATCATGAATTTAACTTTAACTCTTGTTTGTCTGGGAAACTCTATCTCTCCTTCTATTCTGAATGATAGTCTTGCTGGATAGAGTATTTTTGGCGCAGATTTTTTTCTTTTCATCACTTTTGGATTATATCATGCCCCTCCCTCTGGCCTGCAAAGTGTTTGCTAAAAAATCAGCTGATAGTCTTATGGGGTTTCCTTTGTATGTAACTACTTTCTTTTCTTTTTTCTTGCTGCTTTTTTTTTTTTTTTTAATTCTCTATCACTGCTTTTTGCCCTTTTAATTACTATGTATCTCGGTGTAGACCTCCTTGAGATGATTTTGTTGGGGAATCTCTGCTCCTGGATATGGATTTTTGTTTCCTTCTCCAGATTCAGGTAGTTTTCAGTTATTTTTTCTTCAAATAAACTTTCTGTGCCCTTTTCTCTCTCTTCTCCTTCTGGGATCCCTATAATGTAAATGTTACTATGCTTGATGGAGTCACTGAGTTCCCTAAGTCTATTCTCATTTTGCATAATTTTTTTCCCTCTCACTGGCTCAGCCTGATTAATTTCCATTACTCTGGACTCCAGGTTTCTGATCCATTCTTCTGCTTCCTCTTGTCTACTATTTATTCCATCTAGTGTACTTTTTTATTTCATGTATTGTGGTGTTCATCTCTGATAGGTTCTTTTTTATCTCTGTTAAGAGTCTCACTGATGTCCTCCACTCTTTTCTCAAGTCCAGTGAGTATCTTTATGATCATTATTTTAAGTTCTCTATCAGGCATATTACTTATCTCCATTTCACTTAGGTGTCTTGCTATGATTTTGTTATGTTCTTTCATTTGGGACATATTCCTCTGTCTCCTCATTGGGTCATATTCCTCTGTCTCCTCATTTTGTATAACTAGGTGTCTGTTTCTGTGTGTTAGGAAAATCAGCGACATCTCCTGCTCTTGAAAGTAGTGGCCTTATGAAGAAGAGGTCCTGTAGAGCCCCTCAATGCAATGTCTCCTTTTTACCAGAAAATGGCACTTCAGGGGTGTCTCCTATGTATGTTGCTTGCACCCTGCACCCTTGTGGCTGAGCTGTGTTTGCTTTCAGTCCAGTCATCTGCAATGTCTCTCTTTGCCTGTTGTGGGCAGGATATGATCTCTGTGTGGTTATTGGGCCAGTGTGGGGCCACCTAGGGCTTGAGTTGAGTCAGACCAGGAGTTTGCCAGAGATGAAGTAGCACCAAACAGCAGGGCACTTTCCCTATGTTGTCCCTGAGAAGCTTTTATTGGTGAATGGGTCCTTCAGACAGACCTGCGGTCTGCCCCTAGCCCACTGCTTGGGCTGCAGTTGGACTGGTGTGTGTGGTTATCTTTCCCCCTCCCCAGGGGAAGGAGTCACTTTGGAGTGATGCTGGCCCCTGTCTGGGCTGCTTGCACACTGCCAGGCTTGTGGTACTTCTTTGGATGGGCTCTGGCCAAGAGGGGACTGACGGGGGTGGGATTCACACTGTGCACAGGAGCCGGAGGGGCAGGGTTAGCAAGGTTTGTGTGCTATTGGTCCCCTGTGGGAGGGGCCCTGCAGCACTGGACTGAGGTGGGCTAGTTTGGAGGGGTGAATCCACGGAAGCACAGCTTGGAGTGGGGGAG